AGACAGAGGTGAGATGGCAGTGATCCGTAACGGTCAGCGCCTTAGACCACTCGGGACAAAATTCCCATGATTCGCTGAGGCACAGCATCGCACTCCACTTGAGAATCGCCGAACTTGAATTGTGTCTTGTCTGTATGGATTTATCTTTCTTCTTTGGCAAATGTAATAACAATGAACTAACGGTCTTGGACGTTGTCCATTTTAATATGCTAGCCATTATCGACGTATCCGTAAGGTAACGTGAAGTCATTGGGATGTCGCACTCGCTTCTGGTACACTATTTGATAGTTTTTCAAGAGGTCGACTGACAATTTGGTGTGTGGTTAAATATACAACCTTATGAGGTTTGTAGGTAAAATATTGATCATCTGCAGACTGCAATGCTTCCTTCAACACCCAAAAGTTCACCACTTAACCGGTACGATAATGGAGAGTCAATCCTTTCACGATCCACTCCGTGTGCACTTCTTGTGGTTTACGGTATTTGCAACTTTGCAACCGCAATTTTTAGAATTACCGCTAGCAAAATTTAGAATCTTGTCGTCGAGGTGCTCATCCTTCCAAACTCTTGGATGGTCTCCTTCAATGTCGATGCAGCTATCCGTGTCAAAATACAACACACGATCTCCTAACAGTTCTAAGGCTTCGTACAATTTTAAGCGAGCAAGGGCTGTCACGTAGGACGCAATGATGACATTTCCAAATTTGCCGGCCTGTACGAAGTCCATTTCTTGTTCGTAATAGTCAAAGATCAAGCCCTCACGAAGGACTTCCACTTGTTTCATGCATTTGGTTTTGTCGTGAATCATCTGAAAAGTTCTGTCAAATACTCCGTCTTGGTTAAACACTGACGTTGTGCCATTTCCCCATCCTACAATTCAACATCACTGTGGCAAACGATCGCCTTCCTTCGTTATTGTCGATGTGGTCTAAAGTGATGACTTCCTGCTCCAAATATTTCTCTTAATTTCTCTTGGTCTTCGAGAGTATTGCACTACGAAAGATAGCAACCGGCTTCTTGTTTCAATTTCAAAAAGAGGCATCCATGTAGTCTGCGAAAATGCTTTGCTGAGTCTCGTCGCTCTTGTGCTACTATTAAGTCTTGGAAAAGTGGTAAATTTTGCAAATTCTTAAATAAATGGTATTCCAGGTTCAGGGCTTTAAACAATTCGACGAAGCCCCACTTTCCTGTCAAGGCGCGCTTTTTCTGGGTATGATGACATGGTTGGTCTTGGTTGCAAATTTCGGCACTAGCACGGCACAAGGTAAACATAAGTTTTCCCTGGCAATGGTGAGGTGAAATCGGATGGTACAAGTTTGGGAGGCAAGGCTTTACATTTAGTCAATCCTTCGTATTGTCGAATATTGTCCAGGTTGATGTGTTTTGTCAGTAATTGTGGGTGCCCTGCGAAAAAGTGAAAATATTTGTACACCTAACTGTACAGTGATCACACGTACAAGTATGAAATTTCTTCTCATTTCTCCTCATCGGCGTGGTACAGGTGGCATTCGAACATCCTCCATACAATCTATCCTGCGGGTTCAGAGTGTCCACAAGCTTGTAACTCTCAACGATGAATACAAATTCGGGATAGGTTTTCAAACGGCCATTGCACTCGTGTTCCCACATTTCTACCATTTGATATTCATGCTGTTCTAACTTTAAGCGACGCTGACACGTGACCTTGTACAAGCCTTCCATGATAGTTGAACAAACTGATTTTGGGTGTACCGTTGAGGGTAACAGATGGGACATCCGTGAAATAAGCAACTATTAAACTCGTACACGATCTTAGGGCTCTCTAAGTCACAGCCATCAACCAAATATTTTCCAATGGTTTTTTTCACATCATCGGGCTTGTTGGATCCGTTTGTCTTGTCACACAAAGTAACGTAGCTAGCTTAGAGCTTTGATCGAGTATTGGCGTTTGATAAAATTGGTCGTTTGCGTACACTAGGTAATAGGCTTTGGCAATGATGCAGGTTTTTCAAAGAATCGATCCCTTCGTGCTCCATGAACAATTCTCAAAATTTTCCACAGCATCGCCGTAATATGTCGGAACGACAATACTTTAAGCGTTGAAAATTCGTTGTTCTGTACGCATCTTGTCAGTGTCGTAGCAGTGGGCATCTGGCAAATGTGACAGAACGACGTGATGATTGGCATTATGTCCTGAAAAAGTGCGGAAATAGCTTTGGCCATTTCTGTCATTCAAAATGTTTTAAGCATTCGACTCAATGGCATAGCCAAATAACTCATTGAATCTTTAAACTGCATCCATTTGGCAAAATCGGCTAACGTGTTAGATCCCCAAAGGGAATCTTCCTGCAGTTAAGGCAATTGCTAAATGTTCTTCAATGCACTTCTTTCACGCCCAATGAGCCACGCAGAAATTATAAATGTGAATGACAGTTTCTTGCATGCATTCGAAATCGAAAAAGATGACGTTCCCTTTCTTTTGTTCATCTTCCTCCTCCTCCTCCTCCTCCTGTTGGGGTTGGTAATTTTGAATGTAGCATTCGTGCCCCCAAGTCCACGATTTGGTGACAAATGTGATGCCGTTTCTTTCCTGCAGAAATGTTCTTTGTCACTGTTGTTACGTATATCTTGTCCACAAGCAGACAACGTGTAAGGAGTTGACAAGCACTTTTCCGCTGTGAACCTTGCGTCTTCATATGTTGTTGGTAATAGGTGGGGCTGACAAATGTTCGTTGACAATGTTAGCAATGCATTCGTTTTGTCCAGAGAACGTTTGTTCGTAAATAAGCAATTAGTTGATATTTTTAAAAAAATATATACAGGCGTGACAACTGAATCAACTCGAGCAATCAAAGCAAGACCGTGGAATAAAGAGACCAAGCGATAAAAGAAAGGCAGGTATATTTACAATATTACGACTTCCGCCAGACAAGCCACGAATGATAGTGGGGCAGCTTTGTGGAACGGCTGTACGATTACATATCATGTTTCCTTCACGGGCCAGGAGCACGTGTGGACTCAACTCTGATGTGCAAAACCTCTGCCGTATCTCAGCTAATATTGGCGCTGATGCTTCCACACACACTCGTCAACGGGTCCAAGTTTTACAGTTTAAGTCGCACAAGCGCTCTCGTGATTTCCACGATTATGTTAATTATCCCTAAAACATACTGGGCACGCATGTGATGCTGCCGAAGCTTCTTTGAAAACATAATTGCAGGAATCATATCATTATTTCAACAATCGGGCACCTCTATGTCCAAGATGAACATTACTGTTGTTGAAGGCTTTACTATGCCGCTCTCCGGAACCAACAAACGGGTTAAAATCTCACGCAGGTGATGTCAATTTATTGTATATGAACATAAAAATACTCGAGGTTTCATTATTGTATACAGCGTTACTATGATTGTTTTTAGCTGTGGTTATTTCAAAATACTGAGTTCGGTTTACCAACTGCTAAATGGGCAGTGTGTTTTCAGCGAGAAACCTGATTACTGTGCATTTCCGGGTCGGGGATATGACGACAACCATGGTACGTATATCCCACTTTATCTTGTATCTATGCGGATTCTTGACAAAAATATGGTACAAAGGCTCTATCTATGACAGAAAAATGCAACAGATGTGGACTAACTGGACATAATCCGCATAAATGTCTGAAAAATCAAGAAAATCATCAACAACAACAGCAACAACAGACAAATGAGGAAGTACAAGAACAAGAAACCTCTGAAAATGCAGCAAACACAACAACAACAATCATTTTAACTGCAGACAAGACCTTACAATAGCAGCATCAACAACGTGAAAGAAATACAGAGTAGCGCCAACAACCTAAACAGCCAGAGCAACAGCAACCCCCTGCAATCCAATCATACAAATTCAACAGAAAAGCAGCAGCAACAATAACAAATGCAACATCCACAAGCAACACCAAGAAGATCAATTGAAATAACAAAAATGCAGCAAAAAATACAAGACATTAATAAACAGGCACTGACGCTTGCAACAATTTGATCACAAATAGAGGAAGAGAAAGAAACCATTAGAGAACAATGAGCCACAAGGAGGAAAAAGCTACTAGAAGAAAAACAAAAAGCAGAAAGTGCATACCTTCTCAAAGCAGATGAAACTATTGGACAAAATTTTCTGAGAAAAAAAAAGAAAATAATAATAAATAAAATAAAATAAATTTATAAAAATATTATTAATCCCAATACAAATGAGATTCTACACATATAACACTTTCGAGAATATAGCATACTTTAGACAAAATTTAGCACAATAGAGAAATCAATATACGTAGGACAGGAGAACCTCCCTAAATGGTCTGTAAAGATCAAACAGGGAGAGCACTCTCAAAATAAAAAAGTATATCCCACTATTATCTGTGTACTCTGTATTTTACAATACAGAAGAGTTTTGTCAGGAAGCTGTCTAATTTACGGAAGCAATCTTCGGACGTAGATATATGTGAAAAATGAAATTGTATTCTCTCTTGCTATTCGTTTTAGGTGACAGAATTGTTGTTATATTTCGAAAATTTTTGTTATTTATGATAAGTTTTCTAGAAAGATATATATGTATCTTAACATCATGTTATCGGAGAGACTATATTTTTTATTCAAGTTAGCAATTTTTGCAAAGGACGTGGTTATTGTAAAAATAATTTCTTACATAAAAACTGATAAAATAGTTTAATGTGTAAGGAAGCCAATTTATGTACGCGCATGCGTATTGTGTATCACTTGATTCGTTTTTCATTGTCTCATTTATTACACGGCTCGGTTATTGTACTTTTAGCTATTTCGCGGGAGTCTTAGAACTCTGAAGGAGCAATATCTGTTGACAATAATTTTAACTTCAGGCCTTATTCAACAAATCAGGTACTATTCTTCTTCTTCTTCTTCTTCTTCTTCTTCTTCTTCTTCTTCTTCTTCTTCTTATTATTATTATTATTATTATTATTATTATTATTATTATTATTATTATTATTATTATTAATGACCGCTACTGTGACCTAAGTGGTTAGAGCATCTGCCTCTGATGCGGAGGTGGGTCGTGGGTTCGAACCCCGAGTGAGCCATACAAAGGAGTTATAAAAATGGCACTAGCAGCTGCCTCCCTTGGCACTCAACATTAAGGGTTACGTGTTAGAACTGGTCGGCCTGATGCCAGGATAATGTGACTGGGTAAGACATAATTCTACCAGTCTGCGGCATGATGCCCAGTGCTAGCGATGTGGCGATGTTGTGTGTGTGTGTGTGTGTGTGTGTGTGTGTGTGTGTGAGAGAGAGAGAGAGAGAGAGAGAGAGAGAGAGAGAGAGAGAGAGAGAGAGAGAGAGAGAGAGAGAGAATCTTAAAGCGAGGCAGTTACAATCACAAAAAAAGATTACTACATATGTTACAGAACGTAACTTTAGTAAAAACTGAAATTTCAGCTCTCAGTCTCACTTAACTAGGTAGCAAAAATGCCGGACTGACTTTTAGTTCGTTACATATTTGCATACGGGGCCCCGAGTGGCCGAGTGGTCTAAAGCGCTGTCCGTTACGGATCACTGCCATCTCACCTCGGTCTGCGTGTGTTCGAGTCTAGGATTCGGCGAATGTGGATATGTGAGAAAGCTTGCCAGTAGCTTCTCGTGGGTTGGTGGTTCTTTCCGGTGATTTCCCGGTTTCTTCCTCCACCATTAATACTGGCCGCCATGAATAGCCTATCGTGTGCTGAAAAATGGCGTAAAGCCCAACAACAACAACAACAATAACAACATACTTGCATACATCTTGGAAACAGTTTATTTATCAGTGTTATATTGCGGCACTGTGGAATGAGCACTGATAATTGTCTTCAACCTTGGGTAAGAGATTTGCCAAAATGATAATGTATTGCTCTTGTCAAAAACAATGGGCTTCAAATTTGATTTTAAGCAATGCAAGAAGTAAATGTGTTGACGTCTATCTCTGTCAACGGTATGGTACGGGTGCAAGGGACACTTTTTATGTACAAATTTAATGTTGCATACACCTGCCCAATCTAACAATTCATTTAAAAAAATTTCAAACCAAGACTGAGATCAAAAAGGTCCATATTTTGGGATAGGTATAATAAAGTCAAACATAAGAATATCATTCACTCGACCTGACAAAACAGTGGAGAATGATAGAATAAAAAGTTGATTCCCCCCCCCCTTTATATATGCATTTTTCATGTCCGAATGCCATTTCTTAGAACACGTGATGTTCATAGTGCAAACTAGCCAATTCTCGGGGTGATAATTATGAAAAACATTGTGTGCTTAATAGCTTGATGTAATTCAAAATAGCTGTCATCCAGGCAGTGTTTGAGATAAAATACTTGGCTTGAACCAACGTGGCTAGCTCTGCTTTCTAACCAACTATTCGTATTTCACTGGCAACATAATGTACAGCATCTGCATGAAATTACATGCCTCACATCAATTTCAAGAACAACGCTAGCTGGAAAACCCAAATTCGCAAATATATCCATATCTTTATTTATTACACAGTAATACCTAAAAAGTCTCACCATAGCCTTAAATTAAGAAATTGGTAAAACTGTCCCCTGCCACGTAAGGTCATAAGTTTCTCAAACCAATTTAACAACAGACTCTCATATCGTTGCTGGCTTATTTTTTCAATTTCAATTGTTCCAAAATGTATGATTTGGATTATACTTTGCGGACGCGCTGTGGAAAATATTCCTGCCGATAAGATTTCTTGTAAGATAAAATTATGCTGTGCTAGTTTTGAAACCGGAAAGATTTTTGTCAGAAATTTTCTCGTGACACATCGGATAGAATTTTTCCCAACCTAAAGATGAATTATAACATTTATCTGTTCGAACTTCTTAAAATAAACTCTAAATTTCATCTGATCAGAGAGAGAGAGAGAGAGAGAGAGAGAGAGAGAGAGAGAGAGAGAGAGAGAGAGAGAGAGAGAGAGAGAGAGAGAGATTGTAAAAAAAACTTAAGATATACTCTATTTCTATACGTCTCCATTGATAGCTTTGTTAAATTTTAGTGATTATTTGTTAATAATGAGTCGGAATCGTGATGCTATTTCTTAACTCTAGTTATTAGCCAGTTTCAAAGAGGAGATTTTTAATGTAGAGCGTTAACATGACAACATGAGTTAGTTTTGTAAAGTGGACCTAATTTATTAACATAGTGAATTCTCTTGATATTTCTAGGCAGACGTATTTTGTAATTTGAGACCAGAATAATTCTTTGTATTGGGTAAAGAAGTAATGTTTTGTAATGTATGGCGTGAAGTAGAAATATTCGGCATAGAGAGGCTTTCCGGTGAATTATAACGAATGTGAACAAAGAAAAAAAAACGTGAAATTAGTAGAGTTTCCTATTGTGTGATCATTAGGTTATATATATATATATATATATCTAGATATATATATATATATATATATATATATATATCTATATATATATATATATATATATATATATATATATATATATATATATATATATATATATATGTCCATGGAGAAACACGAATTGTTAAGGCCAGACTCATGCAGTTACTGTAGTTGTTTAATTTGTTGAGTA